TATCTATTAATAAAACTCTACGAAAAGGGTAACGCCCCCACGGAATCCTGATCGCCGAAATGCATCGGTCGCGGTAAATTTCCGTTTAGATCGATGAACCCGTTTTTGGAGGGAATCGCCCGTTGCCTTCCCTCCGTCAATTGACCCGACATGCGATGTTGCCATCCAAACCGAAACTCGGAATTCCGTCAAATAAAACCAGAGGAGCTCTTGCGTAACCTGGCAACGTCGGATGCATCGATGCAGCGGGCCTAAGCGCGCGCTGCGAGGTATAAAAAATTTGTAAGGACCCGAGTGTTCGGCCAGATGACCTTGACCAGGACCGCTCACACGCGATGGTCGTCTAGTAGCTCCAAAAACGGGAGACGTCCCCCCTATTTTATTGTTGGATTCGGTAATTTATTAGTTCGATCCGACAATGCCCCCCCGAACAGCGCGGCTAAAATGCACGTACGCACAACGCAACGTGCCGAAGAGTGCATTCACGCCTGGATGGGTAGGCAATTAGTTCGAGTTTAGGTGTTGCATTTTTTCACCGCCACTGGTCGGCCGTGCTACGTGACGATCTTTGTAAGTTCAAAGCCATGCACGAGGGTCGAATAATTAAAAAGGTGCATTTAAAAGATCTGGTAAAGAAATGATTTTATGAAGGAAACTTGAACTTAATTCAAAGAAAAAGCAATTGCTCGATTCGGGGTAGTACATTGGAGGTCGCTCTTTCAAGTAAAGCTGTGTCTAATTATTTCATGCTTCCTTCTTCAAGCGACTCCGCCGTATTAGAACTCATTTTTAATGTATTGCTTGCAGTGTTATAATTTTCGAACAAAAGTATATTGCAGAATTTTGGGGTCTCAATTTTTTAATTTGTTTCGTGGCCGGGTGTCAGATCCCAACCTCTTTGAATATGTCAACTAAAACAGGCGACATTCCATAGAAATACGAACAGGATAACTTAACTCCTCAGTCCAATCTTATGATAAAATAGGGACGCAATAAAAACTTTTTTTTTAATTATTCGTCCTATCGCCTGTTTTAGTTTACATATTCAAAGAGAATGGGGTATAACATCCGGCTACGAAAAGTATTAAAAAATTGAGACCCTAAGTTACTGCAATGTGTATCTTTGTTTGCTCATTTTAACACTGCAAGCTGTACAGAAGAAAAATAATCGTATGATACAAAAGATCGCCTTGAAGCAAAAGGAATAAAATAATAAACTCTGCTTTTTTTTGAAGGAGCCACCTCCGATATACTGCCCTCAAAAAAAAATTTTTCTTTGAATCAGATTGAAATTTCTTTTACATAATCGTTCCTTCAAGAGAACTTTTAAATTTCAATTGACGAGGGCATATTACTTCAAATCAGTACGTTCGTCAATAAGTTTTTCCTCCACTATCCCTAGTTGATGTTTGACTTTATGTTTAAAAAATTACAAATATCGTAGGTATACAATCATCGTCAAAAGTCCAAGAGAAAGAGCGTGAAAAAACTGCGATTTGGCAGCATGATAAAGCTCCTCGATCTGATTCTGTTTATTCACCAAACAACTCTCACTTGGCGTTTCGCAACAGCCGTCTTCAATGTTCACATCGGATCAAGCTGGATTTTCTTATTCTTCTCGTCGGCTAAAATTTCGATGTTTATTCCTCCCTGCCTGTTAATTAGCCGAATACTCCCATAAAACGAGGTGTTTCGGCATAACAAAACATAATTACCCGGGAGTCGGATAGGTTAAGTGAATAAAAATGAAATGAAACTGATCCTTAAACGCCCGTTAAACGGTGAGTATATCCATACGGTGCTGCTGTATGCACGTTAGCGCAACGAGCCTGGCGCCTCTAATTACTCACTAATGCGCCGATTTATGACGCGCCTCACCAAGAAGCTGGAGCGAGGACGTGGTATTTTGGAAAAATTAGCGGATCATTTTTCGCTGGATCTATATCAGTATTGAGATGCTGGTTGTGTTGATCCTACAATTAAAGGTTTGTTACAGAGACATTCTTTAATGGCTGAATTTTATACGTTGGCAAAACTTATACGATCCACCTAAAATGCACATTTTTAATAGAGGTATTTCTCTCTAAACAACACAGTGGCGAAAGTCAGGCGAAGTTTATTCAGGTTAGCGCGCACCATAATCTAGTCTCACCAATCAATTTTAAGTATAATTTGTGGTGGTTACTCTTCGTGCATCATCGATACGGAATGAGAGCATTTGGACCGCATTTTGCAATGAAGTAGGCACAACTATTTCTGGCTCATTTTAGAAACAACATATGTGCCATTAGTTCCCCTATGCAGATAAGTGCCTTTCTGGATGATCCGAAAATTTTGGCTCCTAAACTTTGCAAAATGAAGTCAATTTGCGGTGTGTCTAGAAACTTATGGCGTGCACAAAATGAAAGACTTCATCCACCATGTTTTGAAGATGGAGGCATACCTCCGTGAATAGTGACCGCTTTGGCATCGTCATGAACTTAATATTTCTCGATCATAATGTTCGTTAGGTTCGTTGATCTGCTCTTTTCTGCGTTATATTAAAAAAGAACTCCGTTAGATTCAAAGTCTGAACTTGAATGAAAAGTCATGAAATTTGTAAGAGCCCAATATTTCCATGGGAACCTCGTCAACCGAGGAATTTATCGATAGGAACATGGTGTAAGGACATACAGTGGCTCCTATGACGTAAGAGCGTACCTCTGTTTCCACTTGAACCCCGATAAGCGTGGAGTGATACGGAGAACAGGACTCACGCGGGGTTTGAGATGCCCCCACACATCAAAGAAGCGGCAATAGGACATACACTTAAGATCATACACAGGAGCATAATATACAGGGTAAGCCAGGGTTCAGCGACCAGACTGCAGGAGCGTGCTCTATGGGTCAAAATAGGATTTTTGTGTCGTATAAAGTTTTTTCCAAAAGTGCCCCCAGTCGGAGCTACGTCCCTCTCCCCAAATTTTTGGAAAATAATTGGTTTTTCCTAAATTTTGGCAACTGTTGTAAACCAAATATCATGAAAATGTGTACTCCCTATACTTATATGCCTTGAATTCATAAATGATCACAAAAAAGATCGAAATCTCAATTTAAAGAGGGAGTTTGGGGGGGGGGGGGTGATTCGCGCTCCTGCAAACTGAACGTTTAACCCTGGGTCACCCAGTATATAGGAACATGCATGCCCAACTTTCTCCGCCTGATGTTTGAACCTTTTCTGTAATTTTCAGTGTTCACCCCTAGTGTTTAACACCTCGATGCAAATTACAGAGCAAGATACCGAGGGTTAGGATCGGGGAGGGAGGCGTGCAATTTCGGCCAACGCTATTTTCTCGTTTTCAATTTTAACTCAAAAGGGTTACACTGACGTTACAAGCCGAGCGTGGAACAAATATAGCTTCAGAGCAGCCTCAATTGTGAATTTGGCGAGCCCTCCTCCTTTTTTGTGTTGTGGCTTTCCCGGCTTTTTTATGGCGCTTAATTTGGTTGGATTTCAGGTAGACGCCACAAGTTTAAACCGCGGGAACCTCCCTCCAGAGTTTATTAACTAAACTTTTTCACGTGGGCGATGCTGGAACTTTCAAAATTGCACAGCTGTAATTACTGTAATGGGTGTGGGAGTTTTTCGAGAGTGAAACTTCAGAGAAATTGTCGCTGAGGAACTGTCTCTGAATGAAACGAACAGAATTGACCGTAAACACATATAGTTTTCAATGTACGTCGCATAATGGCAGTGGGTCGATGCATTTTCATGCAATAAATTTCAGTTATTGTATATCATTATCCTCGCTCCTAATGAAGGGCGGTTTTTACTTATCAGAGACCATACCGCGGAAATGAAGTACGCTCACTCATTGATGATCTTACGTCAGCTTTTTTTTATGCAACTTTCGCCCCGCTGAAAGTTTTAACTTATAGTGGCATTTGTTCAACATAAAATATTAGCTCAGGAACCATCATTATACTATTGCAGCGTTCTCAATGATTCTTATGACTTAAAATTTTGACCCACCATTCTTCAGAGATTACAGTCCATTGGTCGTGTAGCATCGAAAATTAAAAATATATATAAATATAGCCGGCCGGTTTTCTTGCTACATGTGCCAAACAATTTGATTTTCGACCGCAATGGTTCCTTTACCCGGCACCATCACATGTGATTACATTCATAACAAAGCTTTTATCATTACGTTTTACAAGCTCACCTTCTCTTCCGTTCACTCGAATGACATCCCTCAATTTTAACTGGCTTCGTCAGACTTCCCATTGCCGTCAACGGATCAATTCGACGATCCATCCCCGCTTTCACATGCAGAAGTGGCATCTTACAATTTTATGTGATAATTATACGTTTGCAAAGTGACGTTTGATCTCACTAAAACTCGAAATTGCTCAACAAGTCCCCTCCAAATTTTATATTTTCCACCTTCATGTTCTGCTCATTATTTTACCGTTACTATTCAGTTTCCAGATTTTTTACAATAAAAAAATTATCATTTTTAACTGTTCAAAATTATCTCTCTGCAATCGTGCGTAGGCACACGCGACAATAATTTAAATTCTAAATGGGATCCGCATGTTTCTGTACAGTCAATGTCCGCAAAATGATCACTTCACCTTTACAAAAAAACTATTACAAACCCACAGGTGAAACACATGAAGCACGTTATTCCATGTAAAGCGACCACGCACTTTTGTAATGCAATGCGGACTCTTGTTTTCTCTTTGTAATAGGTATAGGTACAGAAATGGCATGATCTGGAATATCCGCGACTTGCACTGTTGAACTTTTATAATAAGACCCTGCATTCACTCGGTTTGGGGGGGAAAAAACATTAAATGGAAATATTATATTGAAAAAAAAATTAAAATGCCACTTCCTTGCAAGATTTAAAATGGGAGACACGCGGATTGTGATGACTTTTGGAACAACCAAAATTGGCCTCTTCTGCTGAAAAAAAAGAGAGAGAAAAAAAAAACAAAAAAAAACTTTGACTCACCAGGAAAGCTTTTGACCACTTCATGTTGCACTGATAATCAAGCACAAAATGAAGCACCGAAGAGGCACCGGTCGGAGCGTGGGTCAGCCAACCGCCAAATTGCCCTCTCCACAACCGCCAAGTCCCCCCAGGAAGGAGGTAGATCGAGAGGGAGCGGTCTACGGGTCCTGCATCTTCTGGTAATAGACACATAGAACGCGAATGAATAGAACATCTTTACTTCCATTCATATGCACCCAATCGCTAGTTGTCAGATCAAGGAAAAAATAAGGTGCGTACGTTGTATTTAGGATTGAGCTGAATCCAGTTACGCGCTCCTCTCATAATGTTGAGGAGGTTTTGTTTCAAAAGGTACAGAACAGTGTGCGTTGTATTAAATTAGGGGGAATTCAAAATATTTAACCATACTTCTGTCTTATTTTGGAGCAAACAATGGCTCTCAGAGAATTTTTAATAATAAAATTTGATCCATGATCCATAATTTTGGACCGTTTAAAATCAATTCAGACTCAATGCAATTTTTCGACTACCCATCGGAGCCCATGTAAATGATCGCATACCTATTACCTATGCACGTGGTAACTAAGAGGGTCAGGAAAATTGATCGTCTAGAAAAACTATATTGACGGGTACAAATCATCAAATACGACTCATTTATACCAGAAAATCGGTTAATTCGCCTATATTTCTGAGATGGTGCCAAAATTAGCCATGCATTTTGTCGAGAATATCATATTTTGTTCGCGAGGCCAGTGATAATAATCAAAATTTTCTGACGAGAATAAAAAGTTAGTTAGAGTTCTTTGATTTCCGCCAGCTAAACTATTGCATCAGATATTGCTTTTTTTTTTGCTTGCCCGAATTCATTGCTGTTTACTTTGCTTGGTGGGTTTCTCTAATTTTCATTATTTTTACGATTTGCCAGTGATGTGTTACATTTTATTGGTATTATTTTGAATAAATAATTCTACTGTGAATAACTTATTACTATTACTTCGTATATAAGGACTTATATGTAACAATGGCGGATGCGAATAATGACCTTTTCGAAACACATTCAAAAAACTGTTTTGGCATTGAGAAAATTTTTAGAAAATACTTGAGATGTGATCTTCGAGATCTGTACATTATGCCAGAGCCAAACATATTAAATTTTTGTGTGAGCAAAACAGTTTTTAAGCGTGTTTCGAAAATGTATTTGTCCACATCCGCCATTGGTACATATAAGGCCTCATATGCGGGCATGTCTTTATGAGCGTGTGCGGGTGTAAAATAATACCGGTGTACATATGTTCTGCAATGATCACAGGGCAAATTTGAGTCCCATTTCTTAATGTACCATCATATTCTTGCTCTCCTAATATGCGAAGTTGGAGCGAAGTCTGTCATCCCACATTTTGCCGATCACCGCATGACGAGCAGGCCTGTATCGCTATTATGAGCCCAGCACCCAGCGCTGCCGTAGGTCTGGAGGATATCAGTTAGAGAGTGCGGCCAACCACCATTCCACCATTGCCTGGTCTCTCTAAAATTTCTGCATTCACTTGGGTGACTTTAAGTTCGAAAAAAAAGCTCAAATTAGGAATTAATACATGAGCAAATAATGAATTTTTACGAATATTTTTCCAGGGAATTCTAATGACCTTTTTTCTTCGTTTCGCCCACGAGATTGTTCCACGTTGGCGCACTACTTGTCCAATCTACTCATAGTACAGTAAGTGGACTCATTTTTCTCTATGTTTAATCACCAATCTGCAGATGCTTTCTGCAGCTTCTGTAAAATATGTAAATATTACAAAACATTCCAAAATAGGATTTAATTTCCGCTGATTCATTCTGATTTTTTTAAACTAATATTTTAGTACTTTTTCGTGTGATTCGCCTCAAAGATTCTAATTTGTGCCTCCAGAAATATCAATTTGACGTTTTATTGCTTGACTAAAAATTGTAATTTTGCTGGGGCTTTTTTCTTTGAAAAAAATCGGATTCTTATAAATAATTATCGTATGATTTTCACCTTCATGTCCAGAATTCAGATCTTGGGGCAGCAAACCAGTGAGTTAGGTGGCGCAAGGGTTTCGCTCCTGTAACAAAATAATTTGTGAGAATCTTCACCCTTAAACATTTGAAAGGCTGAATGCAAAAAGCGTAAATTTTGAAACGAAAATTTCAAACGAGTATCTAAATTTTAGTGAATTTAGTTGCTTAATATGATCAGGTGAATAGAAGCTATCGGTTTGATCGATCTGTCATGTCAGCGTCAACACAAACATTAATTCCTCGTCCAGAAGTTCTTTAATTTCTTGGTTTCCTATTTCAACTTCTCTTTACTAATTTGTTTCTCTTAGAGAACAATTTCATCCAAATTCCACAAGCTAGAGCCCGTTCAAAGATTGGTATGAATATTCAAAGTCGGGGATAAAATGTGGTTCTTTTTTTTTTTTTTTTTTTTTTTTTTTTTTAAATTGAGATTTTTATGGACGAAAAATTTCCACAGAGGTGCAAAAAGTTTTTAGGAGCAAAAACCAATCGCAATACCAGCCTAAAAATGTCTTCACTCCGTAAACACGTTCAAAAGTAAACGTTGAGTAAAAGTAACTAATCAGACCGCACCTCTGTGTCTTTTCCTCTATTTCCACCGGGAAAAAAAACTTTCATTGCAAAATTTTCTCACAAGCTCATGGATTAACTCACGCTTGAGCACCTTCTGTACCTCTATACATTCCATACAGTGGGAATGAAGAGTTTGAAATTTAGATTCGTTTGTCTAAAGCACCTGCTCATTTAGCCAAGCTTCATGTTAGCATGTGCTCCAACAAAACCTGGCAATAATCATAATGATCTTGATTCCTCGTAACGATACACTTTTGCTGGAGGAGGGGTGAGAAATCAGTCAAAAGAGCGAGAGGGGAGAGGAAGGTGGCTCCAAAAGGAACAGGTTAACCTTGTAACACTAAATCGCGGCAATTGGAGTGTAACGCTCTGGTAGCGGGCTCGCAACGCAGGGTCATAGCCGAACGCGCCAAGAGTTCACTACGCCGACTTTTTCCGCCTTTATTCTATAACAGTAAGTAAAAGTAAACTGAGGAGACAGTTTTATACAGAGTGCTTCAATTAAATGGTCCGCGCCGTTGAGTTCGCCCTTTTCTTCGAGCAGCAGTGAAAAGCCGCTTTTCTCAATTTAATTTTGTCCATTTTGATTAGCCAGATGAGATCGAACTTCCATGCTGCAGCGCTTTCTCTTGAATACGTTTTCATGATGAAATCGTTGTGTCGTTGTGTCGTTGCGTTTTCCAATTTTTTCTGAGTTCAAGCTCTAATTTGATCTAATTTATTTGGTTTGCCAGATAAAACAGATTTTTTGTTGCTGTTTGCTCTAAAATCAGGATGATGAAAACCTGATTTTCTGTTTTCATCAAAAATTACTTAGTCCTGAAACTTTTCACTCCTGCACTTCCACGACTGGCAGAAAATTCAGAATTTCTCAAAAATGGCATTAAAAATCAACATCTGCATTGCATCTCCACCCTTTGATAATTGTCTCTTTCTCACTCCTCTTTTTAAAATGATGAGCGCCTTGCTACGCCGCGTATTAAGAGAGAGGCAGGGAAACCCAGAGCGCCTTCAATTTTTGTGCATGCGTCAGGCGTCACGGGCATCCCTCAAGCACGAATAGTTGCACGAGTGTAGGCGCCAGGCCGCTCATAGGCCGTCTGTATTTTGCCCTTTTCATTCGTTTTGAAACATCAATAAAAACCATCAAGTGAAGTGCCGGAAGGTAAGGGGTGCATAAGACGCGTTTACTCGTGTTGGAGACATTTTTTTGCGAAAGCCCTGTTAACACTACTGGCAAAATTTCCCGGAACTTTGCGCGAAAGTTAAGTTCCGTGGCCCTATTTCTGCGTAGAAAGAAATGAACAAAAAAATTATGAAAGAACAAACACAAATGTGGTTTAGTAATTTTAACTTCTGCCGCCGCACCGCGCTGACCGCACTGTGTTTGACGCAATGCGTAAAGTATTCATGCAGTCTTGTAGGCGCTATGCGTTTCACGTCGACCGCTGCTGACTGCGCTGTGTTTGACGCAATGCTGGAAGTATTCATGCAGTTTTGTAGGCGCTAACGTGTGTTAAATGCCGACCGCTGCGCCGAGGGCTCTTCCCTTTCGTCTCCAGTCCTCGTCATCATTCCTCTCTGCGCCGCGCCGTTCCAGACTCGACTAATTAAAGGTTCTGTCTCTTGTATCACCGAAAGACGACAAAATTAGAACTTACTATACTCTCTGAAAATGAGAGATTTTGTCACCTTTTCTTGTTTGTCATTTTTTTTCTGTATCCAATTTTTTTTATACCTACATTTAAAAAATTTCAAAATTTGCCGCCCCCTAAAATTGCCCCTATGGGCCGCGGCCCATGTGGCCACCTCCTAAATCAGGCCCTGTGCAGGCGTTCGCATGAGTACCACAATGCGTTGAATACTTAGCGAAGATACTTACTATCCACTTCATGCTATACATGTCGGTAATGGTGAATAAAACTTCATCGCATGTAGCATGTATAGCATCGCCTCTGAGAGATTGAACTTCAAGCTCACTTAAGTTTTATTTTCCTGCAAATCTAATCCGAGGAATCTGACTCCATGCTCAGTTTTAAATGGTGTATTTTTTTTTTTTTTTTTTTGATCATGGCATCCAAGGTATAAGACTAACAAACTTTGTAAAGAGACTTTTGCTCTGTAGATGTTGCTTCATTTGTCCATCCTCGAAAAATTTTTTCATTCAAAAGTGGTCAAGAAGCCAACTTTGTACATACTGAGAAAAATGTGTACAGTTTTGGGAGGTGATCTTCGAAACCCTTCGTCCTTATAGAGTTATATTTCTACGAAATTTCTCCTACGTGCAATATTTTCATGTCTTAAACATGACTTTGCACATTTTGAAATGACCATTGTTCCTCTCGCATCAGTTAATCCTCATCGCTCGTGACCAAATTGATGAAATACCTTATACAACGGTCCGAAGGCGCAAGCAATAATCCGAAGAGGTCGATGCTCATAACAACGCCGCGCCGCACAATGGATCGAGTCAATCGGAGAGGGCACTCATAA